GGGTGGGATGGAAGGTTGATTTAGCTAAAAATTAATTGGAAAACAACAGTCTKTAATAGACCAGTTTCAAGTAATGAAAAAGAAATTTCAATTGAAAAAAGATTATCATACATATGTAACAATCTGGATTCAATAACAGCGCCGATCACATATTAATGAAYGAGATATTGCCGTTTCATGCCACCGAATTTCATRTGTGCTGAGTTCGACAAAAACGTGGCATTGACGTCGCTTCGACATTTGAAATGGGCCTAACTGTCTTGCAGTGTCTTACAACGGCTCTAAGCTTAAACAAAGCGGGAGTCAAGAAACGATATTGGTTTTATCTAGGTTAGTTATCGATATCAGACAGATAATGTCAAGCCAAGGGAGAAAAATAAATCTTCTGTTAAAGTCGGAGAGGGTTTCAGAAAAACAAAAAAACAAAAAGCAACAACAACAACAACAACATACAACAACGACGACAACTAATACAACCGCAACAACGGCAACAAAAATCCCAACAAACTAGCGCCAAACATCTCTCACTTTTTTCAAATGATTACAATTTAACACGGCAGCTGTCGTTTGTTATAAGTTTTGCCCAGTGCTTTTGCTGTTAACTGAGAAAAATACAATAAAAGTAACAATAAAAGGTAAAATTACAAAGAACATTTTAAAGAAGATGGAAATATGGATAAAAACGATAACAAAAAATATGAAAAATGTTAGAATGGAAATGAGAAAAAGGGAGAGTAAAATGTAAACATAATAGAAAAGAGAGAACATTTTGTGACTTTTGTTAATTCATGGGTTCAAGCAATCGTCCTTACAGTGGTTTACAGAGAAGTGTCCATTAAAGTACTTGATCAGTAATAGCACTTTGTAGAGACAAATGTATTCGGATGTAGCTAGCTAATTGTAGCCCAACAGATCTTTAGTGAATCGCCCGAGGGTAAGACCAAAAGAAACACTATTCCTCCTCCAAACGATTACAACTTAAAAAKATTTTGCTCTGAATTGAAATACAAATCTCGATTTCCCTGAATTTGTTTTCCCCTATAGTGTCCTCTAGGACAATTTCTGGTACCTCTGAACCACGTGATCATCGATTATCAGTCGATAACATTATTGAAAGGAGGGTATTGATAGAGATGTAGCTTTGACAGTTCCAGGGGCGTATCCAGGATTTTCATTGGGGGATCCTCATACATACCAAATTGTCAATATGATGTCAAAAGATTCGTGGTCTATAGAGAGAATACATTGCTCTAATTCAAAGAAAAAAAAACGAAACAAAATATATGTCAATTAATCATTTCAAAAGAAAATAACCACTCTGGTTATGTACTTCTGATCATAAATGGAAGGTCTTCATCAGGAGGCATAAAGGATGGTTTTTGAATTTGAATTTGAATTGAAACGAAACGGCCCCGAGAAGATAGAAACCTGAATTTCCCAGCTGCTTAAGTTAATTCGAAACAAATCCTCACACACTGCACCAACGGTTAGATTTTTTGGGTTTGAAAAGGAGGGGGGGGGGGGGGGTGTTTATTTTATACTATTGTGTAAGTAACTTTTGTAAGTAACTATTGTGTAAGTAATTAATTGTATATTCTTTTTTTCCTTATGTTTTATTGTTTTTCTCCTTGCCTGTAACTACCAATGTAACACTAAATAACAGGGGGCTAACTAGAAAACTAATTAGTTAATTTATAGCCCTCTGGCTCTCGTTCTTTTACATAAATTTGCATATTCTCTATACTTATTTCTCTTTTTATTACAAGCACCTTTTTTCTGTTAAGTTAAAAGCAAAAAAGAGCAATAAAACAGTTTCAGTTTCAGTTTCGGGTCACGGGCACTCTGTGACCCCCTGGATACGCCCCTAGGATCAAGTGGCATTCGGTCATTGAAAAGAATTCCTTATCAAACGGTTCGAAATTGCGTCGAAACCGAAATTCCATGTCAAAGGTGTGTGGTTCTGAGAATAGTGTTTGCTATTTCTTCTAGTTCAGTAAAGGAAAAACTTGGTCTAATGTGACTATAACAAGTATATTTTGAGGGGTTYATCTGCGGTCTTGAGTTTGATGAAAGACCTTTTGACGGTTAACGCTTAATTCCACTCAGATACTGCTCAAAACCATCARATTAAAAACCAAGAACAGTCTCCATTCAACGAAGCCTCGCTTATCAAGAAGTGCGTCTTTTATAAGTAAACCAAAAAAAATCGCATTCATTTTCCTCAAAATCGAAGCGACAATCCCCTGTTGCAAGCCAAGCTATATAAAAACCTGAAATACCAATGATGGACTAAAATCAATAGCAAATTCGAAAACTAAAGCATTTCGTCTGAATTTAATCCAAAAAAGTAAGTGGTGGCTAATTTTTTCAACAGAGTTTAAAGTGTTTCAGATCAAAGGCGCAAGTCAGTGAACGTGAGTCAACGGGTGATAGTGTCCCTTTCAAGACCTTTAGGGTGCTATACATTTACCTCCAAGAAGCAAATAATAGTGCGCGCGAGTCTCAATTCAAACTCTGATTGCCCAAAGTGTGTCTAGATCTTTCAAATTGAATGTCAAGTGCCATATTTCRTTAGTATGATAAACGATATTAACTACGGTAAAATATCCCCGCTTTTGTTGTGAGCTAAACATAGAGACCCTTTGTGTTGGATGCGATACGTGACTTGTGTCGCATTACTTACTTTAAGAAGCAAGTGTCTATCAAAAGAGATTTTCCCTTAGATTAATGAATCTAAGTGGCCTATTTTGCAATGGAGGAAGCACCGTGACAGGCAAAGYAGGCAAATTAAATGGTTTTTAAGTTCAAGGTAGTCCAGTATATAAATGAAACGGGATGACTTCATGTCAAATAGTCGTTTTCAACTCCTAACAGCGAGAAGAGCACCGCCAATTGAGTTTGGGAAAGAATGTTTTTTTACAAGAATTAGAGTGTGTCGTGGTTGGATAATTTCATTTGTAATAGTCTTTCATCTCCTAGCAGAGGGCGCCACCAAATGAGTCGACAAGAATTGGTATAYATCGATACTAAGTAGTGKCGGGTAGGTAAAACAAACATATCTCGTTCACCAATTCCTATCCAGCTYAAACAACAYGCTTGTCATAAKTCGAAMACACTTTTTTAGTATCGTTAACGTATCAATTTGTTTCCATTTTTTCGATCGATCGGCTTTTGTAAGACGAACTTGGAAAAGCGGTAAGTGCWRTAACCTAAGTAAAACAGAATACGTCAAGCGCGGTAATGCATACGCACGGTTACCGTTTCRGCAGCTTTTTAAACCATTGCTTTTTCAGCAAGGCTGTGAAAAGTTGTTTCACTTTGCAAACGTTTTTCGAATGATGTTTCAATTATAAAAGTATTATATAAGTGTTTTTGTYTTGAAGACTTCTCATTCAACGAGCAAACCTATAGCTTCGTGAAAAGTGCTTGAAATTGGTAAAAAATGTTCGAAAATCTTCTAACTTGAAGAAAAAAAAATTCTACAATTCAAGCAGACCYTAAGTTACATGTGTTCCGCCAAAAAGAGAAAATCATTAAACTGCGAGTGGTAAGAAAAATAAAGATTAAGAGATTACAGCATCCTGAATGCAATGTTAGATGCGTTGGTGTTTCCACTGAACGTTCATTACTTGTATTTGCATTATAGTAGTGATTCACCAACCTTTTTAACGACATACGTGGRCAAATTGAAGTTTCAATGTCATTGCTATTAAACTTTGTATGGACATACAAATTATGACGCACGCTTCTAAAACAGCGCAAGGAAAAAAATGGAGATCACCGTTTTCGAGGTGTGATTTTTAAAAGCAATGTTTGAAAAAAGCGCGCGAAATACACTCTATGCGCAAAATTATATAAAATGTTTGTAAAAACAAAAACCAACTCCAAAAACTACGCAGTAGATATGTTATTAGCATAACCGAGTTCAGTAATATTAGTTTCTTGTAGCGAAATTATCGATGTTTGTTGGTCGGGAGGGGCAACTGAGCAAAAGATCTCTTTTAAACAAACACGTCCAATATTATACACAAATATATTGTAGAGGTTATTACCTGCTATTTAGCGCTATATCATCTAAGATAACCTGTCACTTTACCAAATATCAAACGCTCGCGATATTATTGCTTTGTGGTTAATCACCGCTTCTAGTTGAAAGATTATTTCACGATATTGCCTTATCAGGCTGTTTTGTAGCTGTAATAAATAATTTTMAAACAGCGAAACCCCCAAATATAAAAAAACAAAMACACACACGCAGTTGAAGACGAACGAARAAAATATTTTTCAATGTTCAGTTTCAACGTGGCCATTGAAAAAAACAGACCCGAAGGCGTGCGGCAGTCATATYCAAGACGTATTTACTAAGGCGACGGAACTATGGTGAAAAAATGCTGCTGTAACGAGACATACAGTTAGAAAACAAAAAATAATATAAAATCCATTAATAAAATCTTAAATAAGGATTCCTCAATAATTACTCACTGATGAAGCCYCTACAGAGATTTCTTTTCTTTTCAAAATCGAAAAAAAGATGCAATGAAAAATATCGGAAGCTTTTACAAAAAAGGTTGAATATTCTAGCTTTGGAGCGATCGAGTGAATGAAAGCAATAATGAAAAAATATTTTTAGAACTGACTTCACAGCTGCCTACTTGAAAATTTGAAAAGAAAACGAATGTATAACAGCCAATGGCAAAAATCTGACTGCCAATCACATATCATGTATCCATAATTATAACAGGATTTCCCTCTATTAAGATATGCCGGATGCATCATGGGTAATTTAATTTGATTTTCGCTTTTTTTCTCGAAAAATTAGCTTTTGACATAAATGAATGAAATCTTGAATTATGCCTGTTTAGGGGTTATTAATAACAAAATGGTTAAAATGAGTGTAATTATGATAATGAAAGGAATTATGATCATGATGTTTGGAATAACCAATTCTCATTGGCTAATTTAACTGTTTTTTTTTTTACAGTGTAGACAATAATTCCGTTATCTTCCCTTGCGCACAAGTGASTCTATCTTTACGTTTCGTTTCAGAAACAAACGATGTCAAACCTMACGAAGACTTCAAAGTGCTTTCTCCCCGACTACTCGGTCCAGAGCCAAACGAAATACCTTCTCACATCGTTTCTGATACTTGGTCCATTGCATACAATCTTCGTTATCGTTTCGTTTATTCTCAACACACTCATAATCCTYGCTGTGTAYAAGAAGCGGCGTTTACGTAGGAGCTCTACGTTTCTACTCTGCAGTATCAACGTTAAAGACATCATCTTGATATCAGTWCTTCAACCAATGGCTGTCTATCGCTCATTCTTATTCAACATYGAAGGGAACGTCTGYGCAAAAACGCCCGTCGACACAACWCGTGCGTTTCTCATCTTCTTATACCGTAGCGTTACGTTAACGACGATGGTTCTCATTTCCGCAGATCGTTGGATTGCWATCTGGAAGCCCAGTGCGTACCGCGGCGTGTTTACGTCAAAAAGAATCGCTGTAGCGGTTGCGTTTGTATGGTTAGTCAGTATCGCGATCAGCTTCGTTGCTACGTACGTTATYGAGCCCAAACATCGGTACCAATTGGYTTTTGTGCAGTTTGGAATCACCGCTTTACTTGTTAGTGTCATACAGATTGGAGTTTACGTTGGGATAAAGAGACATGGTCAAAAGATCACTGATATGTCTTCGTCGCAAAAACGACAGATAACGATCGAGCGTTCCATTGCGTGTATTGTACTCTACGTAATAATAGCCCTCGCGATCTGCTACATCCCTTTGCTCGTCGTCTCCGCAATACGATTCCTCAACAACAAAAACTACTTTCCTCTGACTAGTCCATGGATGGAGCTGATTCTTTACGTAAACGCAATCGCTAACCCTTTGATCTGGATGAAGACAAATCCATCCGTGAAGAAAGCAGTTGCGGATGTGATCCTGTCGTGTTTTAATTCTTCTAGCAGCAGTAGCGAGTCCATGGATATGACGGGTAGTCAAAGTCGAGGTCCTGCGTCTGCTATTACAAACGATACGGTACCTTCTAACGCAAATTAGCGACGTAAAATTATACGACGTACGTGTACGCCTTCAATCTCGTAAGATATACAAAAGTGCTGTAATATATGAACGTTACATTATGAAAAAACGTAAGATACCCCATACATAACGTAAAATTGTAACGTAAAATTATACGAACTCATRTCCAGTCGTACAAGTGTTAAAAAGTTATTGTAATATGAACAAATTATTCAAAAACGTATTTAATCACGCAATCGAACTATATATAACCTACAATTGTAACGTAAATACGTAACTTGGTGAAAAAACGCAAAAATGTAAAAATATGAGAAACGCAAATCAAAGCCATAGATCATACTCGAAAAAAGGGAAATTTACGCGAGGAAATACGCAAAAGATTTATCGCCACACGCAATGAGTAAACATCATATTGTTTAGTCATCTATTGTTTACTACGTTCACGACTGCAAAAATGTCTGTAAATATTACATAGATAAACAATGATAACATAAGTAAATATACTTTAATGAATAAATTAATTAACTGGATTAATAATTGTCATTAATCCACGGTTTGTTTATCCTTATATGGTCAATTATCCTTACATTGTCAATTATCCTTATATGGTCAATCATCCTTATATGGATTTATTATCCTTATATGGATTTACTATCTTTATATGGATTTAYGATTCTTAATTATTCAAATATGGCTGAATTAACCTTATATGGCTAAATTAACCTTATATGGGCCAAACAACCATATATGGACTAGTCAAATTCTCCTTTCATAGTCTGTATAGTTTGGTATTCGTGTTGGTATTTCTTGTTCATTATTTGAGGTAGCTGAATCACGCATCCTCTGTCCTGATATGCAGCACAGTAGTCTAGTATGTACCTTATGCAGCGCACATCGTCTTCTTCTTTAATACATGTATCATATTTGCAGGGGCTTTTTGGGTTTGTTCGGTCAAAGTTGCATGAYGGTCGATCGTAGCSACCGTGCCCCTCTGTTTTGTATCCATCTTTCAAAATCTTTTCCTGCATGWAATGTTAAGGAAAGTCAGTAAGATAAGACCTAGGTAATGYATAGAGTAGCTGGATCGGTTTCGATGMACGTTGTTGTTGCTGAAGAATACTTTGTGCGCAGAAAACGCAAAATGATGTTCCTAATTTTTCACCTARCAAAAAGCAAGCAATGAAAAATGGGAATCAATGACTCTAAAGCTGAATAGCAACAACTTTGAGCGAAAACTTAATGTTTTTTGTATCTCCTATTTTTTTGGCAATACAGTCACGAAGTCGCACACATTTGCAACATCGCGAGGCGTAGTCGAGCAGAATATTTCCACGTAAACCATGTAATTTGTTTACTCACCTCTTCCTCGTCGCCTCCATCGCCATATGTAACAGGAGCATTTTCCACTTTATCCGTCTCCCATTTATAATCACTCATGAAAGAATCTTGACTCTTGCATTTAATCCTAGGAACTTTGCTTGAGACGTTCTGCACCCATTGTTCATAGTTAGCCAAGGCTTTAGCGTATGAGTACTTGTTCCTTTGAACTTCTAATATATAAACATGTACACTGTTAGATTAGAAAGCGGCGTTTATTTGCCCACAAACGGACGTTTTCGATATTGTGTCGTCCTTGATTAAATCTGAGAAATCCTCTACTTCAACAGATCAACATCCTTGCAGAAAAGTTATTTACGGCGTTCGCAGGATAGCAATGTATAAGCGTCGTCTGACTTTAATGTAAAGTGGCCACCCGCTTAATACGGCYACTCCTTTATAACGACCAGATTTGCATATGTCCCAGTGAAATAATCCCTCATAATTTTCTCCCTGGCTAAAACGGTAGCCTGTTAATGCGGTCCCTTCGATGGCCGGACAAACGGAGTTCCAATGTATTTCTCTATCTGTTCATTCATTTTCTATCACGTTCGAACTACTCCCCCTCCCCTGCTTACCCTCATTCTGTGGTAACATATCAGACGATATCTTACCGGCCTGTGGAAATGCTTTCTTTCCTTCTTCCAGCCAATGTGGTTTGGATTTCCACCAAAGTGCTACAGCTTGTTGTCTTTCTTTCCTATTGACGATATTATAAAAGTTACTTAGGAAAACACTATCACATCTTATAACGACGTGCGATTTACAGAGATGGAAAACTAAAAATTGTTTTTCTTTTTTCAGTCATCCATCCATCCCTTCATTTTCCCATCTCTCCGTTTATTCCTTCATCCATTTGACAAGTTATCTTTTGCAGCCTACCTGGAAATAACTTGATGCCACCACATTTGAGGTATATAAACAATGTCTCCTTCTTCCACGTTAGCTACAGTATATCGTACATTCTTGACGCGGGGGAACTTCTTCATATCAACAGACTGTGGATTAATRTCTGACACGCCAAGCTGAARRCTTTCATCACAGTACAAGTCATGRGAATACTCCGGTGATACAAGAATGACAGATTTGTGACCATGAATTACACACAGCAGATTTTCATCGGTATCAATGTGTATCTTAGATGAAGTACCTATTAATAATAAATATAGTAACTAACTTTTGACTGTTTAAAAGGTTTCACAAAACCACTCTATAGGATATGGGGTTATATGACTGATGATTTTCACTGTTATCAATATCTATTGTCATCCTCATCATTGATTATTAATGTTCAAATAATCTTCATTAACATTGTTGTTATGGCAATCTGCACATTTCCTCATGGGTGRCGGAACCAAAATTGACTTGGGGGGCACAATCATAGACTTATAGTGATGATGTCACATGAAMTTTTGCAAATGCATTTTACAATGACAAAATTTTTTTGAATGTTTTGCCACCCCTGTCAATGTAAGTCATTACAATCATACTGTTCATTACGGTAGTGTATCCAGTCAGCTTGCTTCTCCTCCACATAAATTTRTAGAGAACCAAACTSCTAAAAATGTCTGCTGTGGAGGCTAGGATCCAGTTGGGTGTACACAGGGTACCCATGATACTATTTTATGATTACCTCCATTACTCATCCAGAAGTAAGATACAAAAAAGTATGAACTCATCTCCTCACAGCGCAGCTCAAGAGGCAGAGTAACGTCTTTTCTCATGTCTGGGTGGACTTCATCGACCAGGTAACGGTTGACTTTCCTGTATGTGTCCAGGAAGTATGACAAGTTCATTCCTGGTGGAATGTTCAGTTTGTCATCGTCTTTGGTCTCCATTAAGAACTGCATATGRCCATATGTCTTGTTTAGGTATTCATCYGTCCATTTTGTGTAAGCTGGCCAGTGCTTCACGGCRCCTGAAAACAAATAGGGAAAGTTYGATATCTTTATGTCTCTGCRTTTTTTTGACAAGTTMCAATGTCAAAAAGAATAGTGAATTTGATATTTTTTTGATATGGTACAARTGAAAGGAACTTTAATATTACTCAAAGGAAGGTCCAGAAATGAAACTTCAGAAATTGCTGAAAGGAATGATACTTTAACATTATAATTACACTACTAAAAAAGTCTTGATCAACAGGAAAGCTAGTACCTATTTTGCACTACAYGTATTTATGTTTAAATGACTTTGAGTATTCTACTGCAAGAATTAAATGGTCACCTTTGAGAACTACTGGTTTATGGTGAATAACATAATTCATAAAAAAATCCTGCGGTGATATTGAGTATTGCAGCTCTTCAACCATGCCATCTGGGGGGCRATGTGAACCAAAAGGCTTTAGATGCCCTCTTTGAAACATCTCATCTACTCCACCATCTTTATTGCACTCCTCGCTGTATTTATTATTACATAAGGTGTTGTCATGCTCATGGTGGTCATGGTGATCACTGTTGCCATGGACGTGTGCCAAAATAATGGTTGCTAAGGTAAATGCCAGAAGTGAATAATCTTTGAGTTTCATTATTTCCTATAGAAAACATTGTAGTTGTCAAAATTAGCACAGAAAATGCCGCCAAATAGACCAACAACAAACTCTTGATAATATATAATTTATGCAAAAAAAATACAACTGTATTACTGTATTATTCTGGTATAAACCAATAACAATTCATCACGTAGCCTCACATTTTAGCAAGATAATGAACTATTATTATTTGCTCCAAAAAGCGATTAATACTCTGTTATGAAGGGATTTAGGTCCCTTGAGATTAATTATAACAATTTTATATGTTAATTCGGCTTTTTAAAAAGCGAATTGATTTTTACCGCTTTACAATYAACAAAACTTCGCTTTTGAGCACACGTAGATACATGTAGCATAAAATACAAGCCTTTAAAGTTTAGATTTTGAAAAAGTTCCGGTGCAAACAAGTAATATACCTCAACGAATAACATTTTGATTGTTCAAAATATATGCGAAGAGCAGAAAAGACTGAACTTACCGATTTTAGCGATCCAGGAATGATATACCGAAAAACCAACGCTAAAAGGATGAACAAATATAGGCAAAGATGTACTTATACCAACTGAAGCATGAAAACAAACTGACATGCGGAAAAATGGAATGCAAATATTTCTATTTTGAACGTCACGCTGCAGTAAATAGAAGACCAAGCTTGTCACACAATGTAACGAGAGCCTGCAGTCATTGCAAGCTGCTAAAAGCATGCGTAATGATGTCATGTAGTATTTTTGGCGCAAATTAAAARAAATCRCAAAGCTTTGCAGAAACTTCATTGTACCAGCTTAGTTTATCGCAATAATGGCCGCAGTAGCAGATCCAAGGCAAAGACAGCTTAAAATCAAGACAGGCGTTGTCAAAAGGTATGAATTTTGAGAGGAAAACAGTTTATCTTGTAGCTTTGTAACAAAGGATCGTGTTGCCATGCGTCAAAATTGATTTCTTTTGACAGTTACAGTATAAGACAGGCTCAAAACACTCGTGAATAAAGAAATAATCTTTATTTGTAGACTGTATGAATATAAAATTAGCAGTATTATTGCAGTAGTTTGCTTATTCAAGCAATTATTCATAAACTTTGATAAAAGGTTTTTAGAGGCATTGGGGAGGGGGGGGAGAGAAGTCACACCCCGAACTCCATTATAATATTAATATTATATATGTATCAAGTGAGTAAGCTGGATGATTGTCCTTACTTTGGGTGTTGGAACTCGCAGTGTGAAAGTTTTGTGAGTTACTTCAAAATACTGTCATCAATTACATCCCTTCTTCCTTAATAAAGGGTGTGGTTGGTTAATATTTCTTATATTGATCCAGATTAGGAAAAGAAAAGACTATGTATGAAAAAGAAGTTGTCGATCAATCCAAAAAAGTTGAGAAAATGAAGGAAGAAAACAAAGACGAACACGACATCAAAAAGCAGGTGATTTTAGTTGTATTGTGTAAGCAGTTGATTTCACTTTGGGWTGAAATGAAAATGCTAAAACATTTGTGAATTCATGTGAAATGGTTCCTTTTAAGGGTAAACACAGAACTTCGGTTCCTTTTAGGGTTAAACATAGGACTCTTGGCTATTTCACCTTCTCTTCTCAGATAATTCAATTATGGATGCTATTTACCTGACAAACCCAGCAGATAATGTGTTTAACRTTTATATTCAACTAGATTGAAGTGTTGGAAGAGTCTAAAACTATGATTCCAGATTGCAAACGGAGGCTGAAAACTGCTTATGAAGATTTGAAAAATTTAATTGTAAGTAGTTTTCTTAGGACAGTAAAAGAATGAGAAAAGGGATTTATTACCATACATTGTTTATTGGTAAAAAAATGTTAGGGATGAGAAAAATTATACCAAGAAAGCTCTTAATAAATCAGGATAGTATACATTGTATTGTACATTATTCTAAAAGTGAATTCTTCATTCATTCAATCAATGAATCAGCCAATCAATCAATCATCAATCAATCATCCAATCAGTCAATCAAACAACCAATCAATCAATATAATCAGCCCATCAATCAGCCAATCAATCAATCAATCAGCCAATCAATCAGTCAGTCAGTCATTAATTCAACCTGAGACAATAAGTTATATAACTTCCACATTCCAGGATGAAACAAGAACAGATCTTGCAGAAACAGAAGAATTTAAGCAAGCAAACCAAATGCTYGAAGAAACTGTTCTTGAAGATTAACTCAAGTAATGTAAAATAATAACACAAAGTGCGTCCATATGTTGTCAGATAAATTATTGATATGACAGTGAACACACTTGTAATTTACCTCAGTTTAGGTTGAAATTATTTCCAGTCTTGTAGAATGTCAATCAATTCCATTTTCGTTTGTCCATACAATCAATGCTATGGTGCTGTCTAGCCTCCTTTGCAGGCTAAGCTAAGGAAATGGACTTTTTCTCTGGTACCTTTCCTTCTCTCCTTACACCTCCCCCCTCTGTCCCCTCCTGCCTTTACACAGGAATCCCACAAAATAGAGTTGACTGCRAAGGAGGCTAGGTGCTGTCTAATCTTATGTTTGTGGATTATTGCCATAAGGTGTGTACTAGAGAAGTATAATTATATAAAACATAAAGAATRAAAAAAATTGAACAGTTCGTTTAAATAAACATCATAAATTTTACAAGGGGGATGTGAAGGTGTTATGCACCTACTGGTGTGATGAGTCTAGATGATGATTTTACATTGGTTGAAGTAAGAGACATTATGAATGACCAGTCATTTTAAAATCAAAAATATTGGCTACAATCTAGCAGGTGTAATTTCCTTTTTTTTTTAACTGTACTTATATTATTTTCAATGTGAATAGATTTGCATATAATCTAAACCATCTAAATATTTACATGAAATACAACATTAGGAATGTTTGAGATCCTCGTCAYATTTACTGAGTTAATGGTTTTGAAACTGAAGTGTTCTGTTTTTCCAGAACTKTGTCCAGTTTATCTCTGAAAGAAAGGAAAAGTTTACGATCAATTTAAAGGTCTTGCAGTCCTTGCATTTACAATTTTAGTCATATTAATGTTATTTGTTTTAGTGTTTTTTAGTAAAACATCTCTTTTATTGTGTTACATTCTTTTTTTGCATTAACCCTAATAGTTTTTAGCAAATATTATTATTTAATGAATGTCTTGTCTATTAATAACACTTACCTAAGATCTTCAAGTGTGTTATTCATATGGTGAAGTTTTTTCTCAACATGTGTGCAGTGATTTGAATTCTCCATCAAAGACTCCTTGTATGCTTGCATGTGTTCTAAAAAAAACATTTTAGTTAATCAGGGGGGACATSAAGCACTCCAATCACTACTAAAGTCAACAAGCAAAAGGGGTTTATATGGAGTCTTTGGCAGTAGTACCACCCCCTGAAAACATCTCACCTTTCATCTCATCTGTAGTTTTGATTTCTTTTTCCAGGAAATATTTTGTTCTTACTTGCTGCGAGAAAAATAAAAGAATAAAAAAATGAAAAAAAAAAAATGAATATAAAGATAATAAGAGAATGTAAAAGCAAATGTTGCATGTTCTTTTACCCAAATTTTGAATCTACTTTGGAATTCAACTGTAGTAATGGCATTCATGAGCTCCACAAAGGAAGAAAGATGTGAATCTTCTTGAACCATTTCATATGTATGGCTAAGCTGTGCAATAAGGACATTGAACAAYACCACTGACACTGTCAGACTGAGTAGACACACAAGGACACTAGTGAATGGCCTGGAAAATAGACATACACTGAATTCTAGTTTATAACCATGATTATTGTAGTGTGATTACACTGTGTCCATGAAATCTAAATAGTTACTACCTAATAGTCCTTGTTTAGTGACTATCATTGAACTGGAATATAGTCTTACKTAGTAACAACACATTCTGTGATGAATGAATATAAAGGAAACAATTCATCATTACAACTGTTCCAGTTGAGTGATAGCAACTAATAGTCAGTAAATAAGAACTATTAGGTAGTAACTATTTAGATTCTATTTCATGGACATAGTGTAAGCACTCTATGGTATCTAAATGTTAACATTTAAAAGTAATATGATGGAATCAAAACCTTAATGATATTGATAATACGGTTTAGCTTACCCTATAAAATCAAATGAGTTTTCCAACAGAGGACTTCCGAGTGCCCAMACCTTTAGCATAGAAAGCAAAATGCAACTCTGCCCATTCAAATGACTACAAGTTCCATTTGAAGTTCCCATCAACCCAAAACCACTACAACATAGAAATAATCAWAAATTTTGTAAATATTCAGCCCTAGGCCACAACAGGTGTGGGGCATTTATTGGCATGCAAGAAGTGTGTTTGTAGTTCGACCAATCAGTTTGACCAATCAATTCCTTGTAAATTTTGTGAAATGGTWATAAAMCTRSGTTATTTTTGTCCCWGACCTAAGGCTAGAATAATGTGTYCCCAACTAAAATTATTTAATATACCTTTGTTGAACAAGTTGTTGTAGCGTCAAATTAGGGTGAACATGACGTAATGATATGATAATTGACAGCACAAATGACGAAGTAACTATCATGAAGACCAGCATAAAACGAGGCATATCCTTGAAGATGACAAGACCAAAAGCACGGGTATAAGATGATGTGAATCTAAACAAACATTTCAAAAAAGCAATGATATTAGATAGTGATAATAATAATATTGCTTAGGTAATTATTATTGGATTCTCATGATTTGACATCAGGTTATTGGCAAGGAATAAGTCCTTTGCCAAGAACCTCTTGAAAGAAAAAGTCTTGTATACACCCTGAAGAACTTGATGAAAAGGCATATTTATTACAACTGCAAAGGCACTTGACTAAGGTGGTCAAAGTGCTAAATACTCTGATTTAGACTGAATCACCAGGTACATGGTCAGGNNGTTTATTCCTACCTAAGAGATGGATACGGAGTTCACCTTCTCTGTGAAGCTCCTGAAGAATGGCACTTTTTATCATCTCCTGGATTCCGTGTTGGGAAACCCAAAGAGTTTTTCAAAACGCATGGCGGAAGAGTTTGTAAGCTTCTCCGAGTCATCTCATCTCTTGGAGCTCCTTTTCAAATCGCTTCTGCCATTGATCCTCATTGTAAAACAGGGGTTACAGCAGCTACTGGAGCAGAGAAGATGCGCAAGGATCTCAAAGATCTTCTTGAGGACTACCTCGAGAAGTACCCTCACTTGAAATCTTCACTAGGTTCACCCAAGGACGATCTAACGGATCTCAAATCATCTGGTGGTCTTAGTCGTACTGAACTTTCTCGTTTCTTAGAAGTAGCAGCCAAAGGACGAGACTTTGGACCTTTGACTTGTACACATGTTGACAAGTGCAACGAATGGCTGTGGTTATGTGAAGAACACAATCAGAAGTACGCGATTGTAGAACGATAATCGTTCCATATGAATATTTTTCATTCTCGCTAATGCTGGTTCCATATTAGGAAAAAATATTGTTTTGGTATTAATCCAATCGCCAATCAAGATATCAAACTTTTTTTTGAAAATTGAAAACTTCGTACCAAGAATTAATGTTTGAATCAAATAATCAAATCAATATTCGAATTCATTTATTATGTCTGTGTATTCACGCTTTAGGTCGTTTGGTTGTAATTAGTGTAACCGATCATTTTCCCATAATTGTATATAACAGTAATGGTTACTTCGTTTAGCAGTTTTCTTATAATACAGTAAAAGTTGCATGAATATAAAGATATAGGATCGAACAAGTACCAAAGGTAGTTTAGTAGCCATATTTTAACTATAGGATAATCTGAAGGTGTTATCATAGTAATGTCGGAACACGTGTACATTAAAAATATTGCACCATATACAGCCTTTTGCAAAAAATATGAGAATTGTCTAAATATCTAAATATCATAATATCCATATCCATATATTGTCCGGAACACGCGGGTTTGCTAGAATAATTCATTGTTGGCATCGAGAAAATGTTCAGAACTACGGATAAGTCTGTCGCCAAAAAAAAAACTAAACTACAAGACAAGGGACTAAGGGCATCGCCCGTGATTACCCATCATGCACTTGATATTATGATATTTAGATATTTCGACAATTCTCGTAATTTTTGCAAAAGGCTGTACTGACATGTATAAAATAATTGTATTAATTGCAAGTTTTTCGAGGAAGTAAAATGGAGGCATTGACGTAAAGAAAATTGGAAAACCCTCTTTGAAAAGTATCTTTATAAAATATGATATACGACACTTTTTCCAAAGAGTTTTGCAAACCGTAATTTACAAATAGTAAAATAGGAATTAATAGCAGTGAAATATTTATATTTTCAGTCAAAAATAAATGTTCTACTTCCTTGAAATAAAAAAATTGAAATTAAACATCTCCGCATGAGGGCAAATCAGGACGTTGCAAATCTGATTCAATTCCCTTGCACTTGTCTATTCTTTTTTCACAATCAAGCAACTTTATTTCAATATTTTCAATTAGGGTATTTTTGGGTGGCATAAATACGAATTTACATTTTAAGACAAGAGAAAATAACAGCAGAATAAAAGGATGAAATTATGATTTAAAAGGGAGAAACGTCTTAAACATCGACAAAAATGCCATAGATGAATGCATAAGACATAATACATGAACAAGAGGGGGAAAATGTAATGGAATTTTATGAGGTTTCACTGAACAACGGTGCTCGGAGCACCGTTCGACAAAGGGAACATACCCTCCCCCTGTGAAAATCACATTTGCAGGTCATGAACCAGCATATATTGACTTCAAAATCTGGGTTTCCTCTGGTACATTCTATACATTACACAGAACTGTGTTGCGATTGGATTGAGTTACGAGATCAAGGATTTTGGCAGATTCACTTGGTAAGTTGTACCAATATGTGATGCGAATATGGAAT